TCGCATTCGTCCTTCAAAAATAGTTTGTCCTTAATGGACAGAAATACCGACGAATTAACTGAAGTGAAACCCGCGGCCAAACGAGGGGCCACCAACGAGCCCGTCATTCACATAAACGCGCGGTGACCTTGGGAGGCAGTACTGGTGCAGTTTATGAGGTCAAAAATAAAAAAAGACATTTTAGGATAGTTGAAACAGTAATAGTAACAAATAAAATCAGTTTAGGAGATTCTCTATTAGCTTACTTCTGCAAATAAAAAATTTGTTTTACCCGAAAATGCGCATTCTGCATAGTTACCTATTTGCTACTCCACAATTGTGGAAGCATGTTGTTCTGCATTTTATCGACAAATGTTTTTTGGTATTATTACTATTATTGTATTTGTGTCCATACTTCAATACACATTTATATACTTGTACATACACGTATGCGCAGGTTATATTTTATTTTCTATAAGCATGTACCCAATTATGGCTTGTACCCATTAGTAAGGTTAATCAATTTTTCTCTAATTTAAATGGGTTAGCCCATAAGTTTGAAGGGGATTTTTCGCTGCAGCGTTTTGTTCCAACGGTGCGTCGGGGCCTCAGCTACCTTAATGACGCCCGGGCTCTGGCTAATGAGGCTCCCCCTGTTGAGAAAAAGGGAAAACCTACCGAACACCGGACTCTACTGGATAGTAATGACTTTTCAGACATTAAATTCTGCAGGGATTTCTTTCTGCTGAAGCATTGTCTGATAAGCATGGAGTCATTACCGAACAGCACCAAATACGAAACTTGCCGTGGCTATTACTTCGCAGACTGCTCAGGTGAAAATTGGATTGCATTTTATGTGCTGTTGCCATGCTATTTGTGCCAAGCACCAATTTGCCTTTATCCTTTGTTCCCAATTCTTTGCATAATTGATTCATGATAAAATTCGCATTACCCAAGTTGCTATAATATCCGTCTTGGTAGGGTATCTTGTGCTTATGAGGCAACTCTCACGCCGATTATTTATTGACTTCTATACCACCGGTTGAAACTTCAGTCATTGGTTTTGCGTTGATATTTTCTTAGTGAAACGTGTACAGTATAAAATCAGTAACTACTTAATCGTAAGTTCAGCTTTGACATGAGTTGGTGGGTAAGGTGGGCTCAGAAGCAAGGGAGTGGCCACTTGAGTACAC